GGCCCGCCTGTGCGACCTCGGGAGCGCGGAGGCTTGTCCAGCCTGCTTGTCCCCACGGCCAGCGACCAGCACTGCGGCCACCAAGGGTGCAGAGCGGATCTAGTTAAATAGTGCTTATGTAGGCACCTTGCTTTCATTTGGAGAGACATCAGTGATGTCCTGGAGGTACAGGCATGTGCTGGTGGAGGTACCACACAGACCCGGGACACTGTTGTGTCACACAGAATCACAGAATCACAGACTGGCAAGGATTGGAAGGGACCTCGGGAGATCATCTAATCCAACCCCCCTGCTAAAGCAGGCTCACCCAGAGCAGGTTGCACAGGACATCATCCATGCGGGCTTTGAGTATCTTCAGAGAAGGAGACTCCACAGCCCTCCTGGGCAGCCTCTTCCAGTGCTCTGTCACCCTCAGAGTAAAGAAGTTTTTCCTCATATTCAACTGAAACCTCTTCTGTTTCAGTTTGTGCCCATTGCCCCTTGTCCTGTCGCTGGGCACCACTGCTAAGAGTCTGGCTCCATCCTCGTGACTTCCACCCTTAAGATATTTGTATGTGTTGATGAGGTCCCCTCTCAGCCTTCTCTTCTTCAGGCTGAACAAGCCCAACTCCCTCAGCCTTTCCTCGTAGGGGAGTGTCCATTGGGTGCGCCTTGGTGGCCTGGCTGGACGCACCGAGCCGGGATGCTGGGTGGGTCCTGGGCTGGCCCCAGGGCTCTGGTTTCCTGCAGCAGCTGTGGCCGGGTGGGTTTCACATGTCCCCACTGCATTAGGGCGTCCCCTCTCAGGGGTATAAATGTCTCAGGGGACTTGCCAGAAACACTTGGTGTCCCCAAGGCTAGTTGGTGTCCCTCAGGATGCTGTGCGGGGAGCTCTGCTGCACCATGCTCCTGGCAGCTCCCAGTGCTTTAACCACATTGTCGGTGCAGCTGTGGACAGGGATGGAGGGAACTGCTCTTAAAATGTGCTCATGTCCCCATGGGAGCTGCAGGGATGCAGGGAGGGCCTGGTGGCTTTTGAGACACCACGGCCAGCACCTGGCACAGTGGTGGTGAGCAGAATCTGACCCTCTGCTCCCTCCTTTGTAGGCACGGCTGGGCAGGCTCGTCCACCCAGGTGTTTTTCTGGAAAGCCCCGGCATTAGTCACCCTCAGTGACACCAAGGGGGTTTCCCCTGGTGACGCCTGCAGGATGTCAAAGCTTCTCAGCAGCAGTTGGCTCCTTGGGACAAAAGCTGGAACCTGGGGTCTGGCATGAGCACTGAGGCCATGAGCAGGGCAAGGCTGCGTGGGGCGTGCACGGGGATTTTGGCTGCTACCCCTCAGTGCTGCTGCAGGCAGAGCCCTGCTCAGGGCAGCTGCAGCGCCAGGGACTTTATTTTGCCTCCTACAGCTTGGGTTTTGCCTGTTTGCTGGTCACAGGGCTGGGGATGGCTGATGGCACTTGGGATCCTTTGCTGCTCCCTCCGGGAGCTCCTTTTGCCTGCTCCTGCCTCCGCCTTGCCTGCACGCTGCCGCGTGGCACATGGCTCCCGAGGGGCCCGGTGCCACCCCTGAGCTGTCACTAGTAACTCCCAGACACAGCAGAGCATGCCAGAGCAGAGGGTTGGGATGTGCTGAACAACCACCAGCGCAGTCAGGGAGCAAATTAGGGACCTCCGCACGTTCCCGGCGAGGCGAGCGCCGGCAGTCCCGGTACCTGAGTTATGGATGCTCCTGACAAGGCAGCCGAGCAATTAGATCACTTCTCAGACCCATTAAGCATCACAGACTGAGACTAAACGGCTTTCCATTTTCTTTGCAATCGCTCATACAAGACGTTTATTGTTTGCCTCTTGCTGCTCAGCATGGCGACGACGCGCCCGAGCATGGCCTCCCCCGGCCCCGCGGGAGCAGCACAGGGTGCGGGGACAGCCGGCGTGTGCTCGGGGAGGGTGCCGC